AACTCAAACAAATCCACAAGAAAAAAATAAATAATCCCATTAAAAAGTGGGAAAATGACATGAACGGAAGTTTTTCAAAAGAAAATAGACAAATGGCCAACAAAGATATGAAAAATGCTCAACATCACTAGTGATCAAGGAAATGCAAATTAAAACCACAATGAGATACCACCTTACCAGTCAGAATGGCCATTATTAAAAAATTAAAAGAAATTTATTTTTGTTTTTGCTATGATTGCCCTTGGGGTCTTCTTCATAAATTCTTTGCCTAGACCAATATCTAGAAGAGTTTTTCCAATGTTTTCTTCTAGAATTTTTATGGTTTACTCTTGAGATTCCTCAAAGAAATAAATGTACACTTACTATTCGATCCAGCAATCCCACTACATAGTGTCTACCCAAAGGAAAAGAAGTCATTTTATCAAAAAGACACATGCACTTGAATGTTTATCACAACACAATCCACAATTGCAAAGATGTGGAATCAACCTAAGTGCCCATCAATTTATGAGTGGGTAAAGAAAATGTGGGAGATGCATATCATGGAGTATTAGCCATAAAAAGGAATGAAATAATGTCTTTTGCAGCAACTTGGATGAAACTGGAGACCATTATCTTAAGTGAAATATCTCAGGAATGGAAAAACAAATAGCACATGTACTCACTAATAATTGGGAGCTAAATGATGAGCAAACATGGGCACAAGGAGAGATAAAAGATATTGGAAACCAAAAAGGGGGGAAAGTGAGAGAGCAATGAGGGGTAAAAACTTACTTGTCGGGTACAGTGAACTCTATTCTGGTGATGAGCACACTAAAAGCCCCAAATTAAGCAATATACAAGGTATCCATGTAACAAAAACATTTGTCGCCCCTTGATAATTTGAAATAAAAAAAAAACAAAATAAGAAAAATAAATGTTGTATAAATGAAGTATTTCAGGAAGTCATATACTGATATATCCTTTTTTTCTGCTATTAAAGGCCATTTGTCAATTTTGTAAATAGAGATCAAAGCTGCTTCAGAAGTATAAAACTCTACTAAAATTCTCTCAAGATTGTAAAAATGAATAATATTCTCAAAGTTATAACAATTAGCTGTTCAGATGACCTCACAGAATCAATGAGAAGCATTTATTGACATCCAAAATATTTTAATAGTAAAGAATAAAGAATACATCTCTACAATACATTCCTAGCAACCAAAGGCTAACTTTACAAATTTGAAAACTTAGTAAAAACAGTTTTCACAAATACAAGAAAAGGTAACAACAAAATATAATCATCTAATTATCTGAATATAATGACAAGTTTTCAAATAATATGTAGTTATTTCAAATTTACGCCAAAAATATGAAGAAACAAATTATTTTTGCTAATATTTTTTCAAAGTGTCAATTTCCACATAAAGTTTGGCTCTTTGGAAAATAAGAATAAAAAATTAACTTTATATTTGACGTTATTAGCCTCCTTAATCACACTGATTTTCTGAAACTAAACAAACAGCTTTTCTGCTTCCTTTACTTTTTTTTTCCTATCCATTTTAGAAATTACAGACCAATGGTCCTCCCGTATTGTTCTCATAGATCCAACCTTCACTGAAGATCCAGGGGCTGTTAGAGATGAAGGAGTCTAAATACAAAATAAAATAAAATCATAACGTTTAATTATTTTT